ACGGTTACCAAGATACTGCTTCAGGAAACCCTTTTCAAGTTAACCTTTACCATGTAGGAAAAAAATTAGCCTTACAGTTTTTTGTAATAAAAAAAAATTTTTTTTATGGTGTATATGCTAAACAAGTACTTGTTGAGTGAGCAACATCTCCATGCCATGAAAAAGCTTTTAATGTCAATTTCACTAATAATTATAAAATGTCATAAAAATGTTTATTATCTGCAGGTAAACCTTCTTGGTTGGAATTCAAGACAAACCTTATTGTGAGTTTTTTATTATAATTGTTTCTGTGATGACTGCTTGCCCTATGATACACTTGAAATTAAGGGAGAACAGTAAAACCCCAAATTAATTTTTTGAAGATACTGTAGTTTAATATTTGAAAGGATTTTTGTTTTTCAATTTTTTTGAGATGGAATATCAATATGTTGTGCAGGCTAGTATTGAACTTGTGGATTTAAATGGTCCTTCTACCTCAGTTTTCCAAATAGCTGGAACCACAGGCATGGGCCACCATACAAGGCTTATGCTTTGTTGATAAATTGTCAAGTGAGAGTACATTTCATTTCATTTTATTGAGAGAGGGTCTCAGTATGTTGCATGCACTGGCCTTAAAGTCACAGTACTCCTGCTTTAGCTTCTCCAGTAGTTGGGATTACAGGCGTGTGTCTCCATACCCAGCTTTACATTTTAATGTTTAATGAGTGCTATACAAACCATTGGCTAAATCAACTAATAACTCTCCAACAGAAAGCCTTTCTTTTTAGAGTTGGAAATAAAGCCTTGGATTTTAAGGTTTGTTTCTGTAATGGAATGTGTTATTTGAATGCCATTTTGATTCTTTTATTTTTAATACCAAACCTATTATTATCTCTTCTATATTTAGGTTCGATTAGTGATAGTAGATGGCATTGCTTTTCCTTTTCGTCATGACCTTGACGACCTATCCCTTCGTACTCGGTTGCTAAATGGCTTGGCACAGCAAATGATCAGCCTTGCAAATCATCACAGATTAGCTGTAAGTATTACAAGAATTACAAGGTCAAGAGAATTTTATAATAAAGTTAAGAGTATATAATATAAATTTCCATGTCTAGAAGTTGCAAAATACTTTTTTGCCTGGCTAAAAGGAAATACTAGATACACTTTTGAAGTTAATTTTGTTTTGGATTGGTTTCTACAAAGAATTCTAGTCAGAAGAACATCATTTTTCCTTCAAATTAGCAAGCATAATACATGTCATTTTCAAAAATGGACTTTGGGTGCTGGGGATTTAGCTCAGCGGCACAGTGCCTGCCTGGCAACTGAGAGGTCATGAGTGTGATTCCTGGTACCAGTTTTAAAGAAAAAACGCCCCCCCCAAAAAAATTTTAAAAATGGACCTTGATAAAGAGATGTATATTTGGAAATTGGAGTGCTTTCTTTGTTTAAATATATTGGATGTTTTTCAGGTCCTCATTTTTTCTTTATTGAGTTTTTGATCATTACATAGTATATAGGCACAGACTCAGAAAAATTATCTAATTAGACAACCTAGATATTCTGAGATATAGCCAACTTTTCTAGATTTGAAATGTAAGGAAACAAATAGAAGTACAGAAGTGAAGAGATAACAATGAAGTAGGCCAGGCTAGGTGGGATTACATGTGTGTAATCCCAGCACTTGGGAGGCTGAGGCAGGAGGATTGCCTTGAGTTTAAGGCCAGGCTGGGCTACATAATGAGTTCAAAATCAGCCTGCACTACATTTGAGACCCTGTCTCAAAAAAATTTTTTTTTTTTTTTGGTTTTTCTCCAGTACCAGGAACCGAACTCACGACCTTGCGCTTGCCAGGCAGGCGCTTTGCCGCTGAGCTAAATCCCCAGCCCCTCAAAAATTTTTTTAAAATAAATAAATATGTATATCCCTCTATGAAATTTAAAACACATATTTTAAGGTTTTAGATTTTTCTATATTCTGAAAAGCATAGTATTCTGTTTAAATTATTTCTTGCCATTAATTGTAACTTAATACTGCTAATATCACTATCAATGAAGATCCCCCAGTAGAGGGCACTCAAGACTAATGGGTTGTATAGTTTCTTAGTTTTGCTTTTTTGGGAGGATTTTTTTGTTGTTGTTTTTGGCAGTATAGTAATGGGCATTGGACCTAAGGCTGCATCCCACAGCCTTTTCTGGTTTTTGACACAATGTCTTGCTAAATTGCCCTGGCTGAGCTTTAGCTTGCAATCTTCCTGCCTCTGGCTCCCAGAATGCTAGATTGATTACTGATGTGTACCACCACACCTGGTGTTAGGTTTTCAACAGAAATAATTTTATCTTTCCCAGTTAAAAAAGTAGTCTAGGGGGCTGAGGATTTAGCTCAGTGGCACAGCGCCTGCCTGGCAAGCACAAGGTTGTGAGTTCGATTCCCGGTACCGGAAAAAAAACCAAAAAAGCAAAAAAAAAAAAGTAGTCTAGCTAGAAGCTGGGTGTGGTGGCATGTGTCTATAATCCTAGCATTCAGTGGCAGAGGCAGAGTATGGGTGTACATTTGAACCCAGCTTGGGCTACATAGTAAGTTTAAGTCCAGCCAGAATTACATAGGAAGACTATCTCAAAGAACAAAACAAAAGTACTCCAACTGGATGCAGTGGTGCACACCTGTAATCCTAATGTTCAGGGATGCTGAGCCAGGAAATGGGATGTTTGAGGCCAGCCTATAATAGTCAGTTCAAGCCCAGCCTCTTCTACACAGAAAGACCCTCTCTGGAGGAAAAAAAACTACTTGAAAAATACGAACAAAAATTCATCCAAATGATAATATCAAATGCCACAATGTTTATGAAATGGTGTAAATATGTATTACTGACGCTGGGCACAGTGGCACATCCCTGTTACCACAGCTACTTAGGAGACTAAGTCAGGATGGCAAGTTCAAGGCAAGCCTGCGAAATTTAGCAAGACCCTATCTCAAAAAATCAAGTGGGGTGTAGTGACACACACCTGTAATCCCAGTGCTCTGGGAGGCTGAGGCAAAAAGATGGCAAGTTCTAAAGCAATTTAGCGACTTAGTGAGACCTTGTCTCAAAACATAAAGGGATGTCGATATAGCTCAGTCCTCAGGTCCTGTGTTCACTCCCCAGTTCTTCAAAACAAACAAAAATAAGTGTCTGTAAAAATTAAAAATGCTGAGAAGCCAGGAGTGGTGGCTCATGCCTGTAATCCTAGCACTCGGAATGCTGAAGCAGGAGTTGCAGGCCACCCTAGATTACATAGTTCAAGGCTGGGATGAACTACATAGCAAGACCCTGTCTCAAGAAAAGAAAAGAACTTCTGAAACCATCAAAATATAAACAGTGTTTTGAGGGACAGGATTTTTGTATAGTTGGGGACATTTCTTAGATTATAAATTGTTTACTTCATTTTCTTATCAGTTAGCATGTATACCTTTTAATAATAAATATATTTTACAAATTTAAGCATGCTTTTTGTAGAAAAACAGTTTTAAAAAAAATATATAGAAAGTGATTATGTGTTACTCAGGGACTATATATACTATGTATATACAAAGTACTTTTTAGAAAATGAGTATTATGGATGCTGTTATTGCAAAACTATTTTTTTACTTAATACAGTATATTGGTATATTGTGAGCACCTTCCCTCGCACATTACTTACCATAACAGCTTTTGTGGTACTGGGAACTGAACCCAGGGCCTTTGCACTGAGTTATATCCCAGTCCTTTAAATTATTTTGAGACAACTTCTCACCACGTTGCTCAGGCTAGGCAGGAACTTGCCATTCTCTCACCTCAGCCGCCCAAAATGTTGAGGTTACAGGTATGAGCCACTGTGCCTATCAACTGAAGTGTTTTTAAAGTGCTGCAGTTCATAATTTCAAAGTGATTATTAGTTTAGTATTTTAAAAACTTGCGAAGCTTCTTTAGAAGCTCAGAGTAATCATATAGTCATTTCCATTTATTTCTATCATGGTAAACCCCAAATTTTATACAAATACTGCGATACAGTAGTTACTTTATAAGTTTGCTATGCGTGGAAAGTCTAATTTTAGCATGTTGAACAACCGGTTAGCTGTACTTTTACTTACATTTTCTTGAAGATATACTCTGCACTAGCACTGTCTAATTGAACTTCTGGAAAGAGAAATGTACAGTGCAGTTCTGTAGCTGTATGGCTTTTATTGACACTTTCATTGAAAAAAAAATTTGTTTAGTAGTGCATGTTTGCAATACATAGTGAACACATTCACAAATACACGTAACACATCTCGATCTGCTCCGCCTGGCTTTTGAACACTTGAAATATGGCTGATGCAACTGAGTAAATCTCTAGTTTTAACTTTAAAAAACTACATCTGGCTAATTAATGGCCATGGAATTAGACAGAGCACCTCTACACAAAAAATGTCAGCATCAGTACGTATCCCAGTTACTAGAGTTTCAGCCGTTGGGAGTATGTACAGTAAAAGGTATTACGCAGCATGTTGGGAATGCCAGTTAGTCATACCGTTTCAGTTAATTACCAATTTAAATTTCTGCTTAGTTTGTTCTAAGATGTCTGCTGTGAGGTAACAAAGGAAGAAGGTGCTATGGCACTTAAGGACTGAGGACTAAAGAAAATTCCTGTCATCCGTTTGGTATCTGATTGAGATCTACATGGACCCCCAGCTCCTTTGTAGCTCAGCAGAATTTTTAGGTTGTTACCAGGCAGTGGAAACAACCAAACAGCCTTTTCTTTCTCGGTTTTCTTATGGAACTAATGATTTGTTTTTCAGGTATACAACTTCTTCCTTTTATTGTGTTTCAAACTTTTTTAAAAAATCATTTTCAATTTGTAATTGAAACTGTCTTTCTGGAGAGAAGATCTGTATTGGGAGAATATTTAAAATAACCATTTCTGGGGCTGGGGATTTAGCTCAGCGGCACAGCACCTGCCTGGCAAGCGTGAGGTCATGAGTTCAATTCCAGGTACCAGAAAATAAATAAATAAATAAAATAACCATTCCTGGAGAATTCTGGATAAGAAGATGTCAGATAATTTGACTTACTAAATTAGCCTTAAGCACTTTTGTTTACTCTGATTTTAAAATTGCTGTCAGGGCTGAGGGTTTTGTTCAGTAGTAAAGTATGTGTTGGCATGCGAGTCTATGGGTTTAATCATGGCACCAAAACAAAAAAAAATTCTGTGTGTCTAAACAGGGAATTTTTTGTATAGGTCTCTATTCCATCTTCAAAACAAAACTCTGATTTAGTCTAAGCTTGTGAATTTTCTTGTGTAAAACTGAGATAATAAAGTATTTCACTCACAGAATAATTGTGAAAGTTAGATAAGATAATGAAAGCAAATTGTACTTAATAGTTTCTGGCATGTATTAAGTGGTAATAAGTGTTCATCACCACTACTGACGTTGTTGCTTGTGTTTTGGTTGTTTCTGTTGGCTTGTACAAAACTTGAACTCTATTTATTTGATTTTACGAGACAAGGTCTTATTGTGTATTCCAGGCCAGCCTTGAACTTCCTGGGGTAGCCCAGGCTGGCCTTGAACTTGGTGGTCCTCCTGCCTCAGTCCCACAAAACTTCAGTTATAAAAGAGAAATTTTTCCAGTGCATCTGGTTAAGAAGTTTTTATTCTTTAGACCTTTATGTATTGCTTGATATATTTTATTCTTTTTAGAATAAACATTTGTTTTCATCGTGTTTTATGAACAGTACAATCATGTGTTCAGATAATTACTTTTTATGAGCAATTTTCTTTTTCAGCACTAGGGATTGAACCTGGGGACTTTACACTAAGCTAAATCCTCAGCGGGCTGGGGATATAGCTCAGGGGCATAAGCGCCTGCCTAGCAAGCACAAGGTCCTGACTTTGATTCCCAGTACCAAAAGAAAAAAGAAAATCCTCAGCTGTTTTGTTTTAATTTTGAGAAAAGGTCTTGCTAAGTTGCCCAAGCTGGGCTTGAATTATCCTCCTCCTTTAGCTTCCCTGAGTGCTGGGATTATAGATATGTGCTGTCTTGCTTGGTTTATTTTTAAAAATAATCACAAAAATATTTTAAAGTGTATTTTAGTAGTTGTATCTAGAATAATAAAATCACAGGACTATTTATTTGATAAATTGGTAGAGACTCACATTTCTTATATTTTGCTTTTGCAGGTAATTTTAACCAACCAAATGACAACAAAGATAGATAAAAATCAGGCTTTGCTAGTTCCTGCTTTAGGTAAGTAAATTAATGAGATAAACGTTTTAAATTTATTCCTACCTTTCCATGTGATGCTAGTTGAATATTATAAGCTCCATGAAAATAAAATCTGTGTTGTTGCATTCACTTTATATATCTTACCATCCAGCACAATGCCCTATAATACTGAATGGTTCTTTGACTTTTTAAACCAACATTTATTAAATATCCACTGTCTGTCAGCTATTATGTCAGCCACTTGAAATAAAAACATTTGGAAAAAGATTTGCTGTCAAAACCTCAGGTTGGGGTTGGGTATATAGCTTAGTAGATGAGCACTTGCCTAATGTGTGAGCAGTCCTGGATTCTATCCCTAGGACTGTGAAAAAACAAAAACAAAACAAAGAAACAACGTCACAGTCTTAGAAAGATGAATTCACTTATATACAAATCATATTATAGCAAAGAGCCTCATAAGACTGTTCCTAATCTCAGTCATGATTTTGTTAAAACACCCTGGTTCTAGATTTATTTCCACTAAAGTCTATAAGCATATTCTGTTTGGCAGGCATAGTGGCGATGTGCACCTGTAATCACAGCTACTTGGAAGGCTGAGGTAGAAGGATCACTGAGCCCAGGAGTTTCAGGCCAATGTGGGCAACATATTAAAAATTTTAAAAGAATATTCTGTTGAAGTTCTTACTTCTGGGGCTCAGAAATACGTTAGCAGGCCAAATGATGTGGAAGATTGATAAATATATTAACAGAAATCAGAAAGTTCTCAAAAGCAAAAGCAAATAGAGGATAATGATTTGTACTATTTCTTTCTGTAGATAAACTGTTTATCTTAGGATGTTACTTATGTTCCAATTTTTTGAAACTAGGTACAGTATATTCTTTTTTTTTGACGCACTTCTAAATTGCACAGTGTGGCTTTAAATCTGTGGTCCTCCTGCCTTAGTCTCCCAAGTACCTGGGGTTATCCTCATGCACCACTGGGCCCAGTTCCAACTATATTCTTGTTATGTTAAATTTAGTAAAGTACTACTGTTTGGTCAGAGGCATTCTAAGCAGCTTACAACCTAGTCAGTAAGGGAAGATACCATTATCATGTTCTTTTTTTCAGGGGAGACTTGGGGTCATGCTGCTACAATTAGGCTGATTTTTCACTGGGACCAAAAACAAAGGTCAGTATAGAAACAAGCTAGTAATTCAGAATATTAGAATAGTTATACTGAATGCTTAACAGTTTCTTAGTCCTCAAGAAAAGATTTACAGTGACCCACGAACTAATGCTTTTGTTGCCTTGTCAATCACGTAGAGCAAACATAGAGACGTGTTGTTATATTGTTCATTTAGCTACATAGGGAATTCTTTGGAATATTTAAATGATGGGGTACACATACCTGAAACAAGTAGGTAGCTAAGGACTGCCGCCCTCTTAAACCCTTTCAAATCATTTGTTAGCCATGCACAAGGAGGTGGTACTCTGTGTTCCTGGAAGGGATTGAAAGAATAAAATCAGGACAAAAGGAAAACTTTTGAGGTTAGCTTTAGGACTAATTTATGTGGAAAATGGGATGCTTTTTCTTAGTTGCTTAATATCGTTCTTGTATGAAATTGTGTGTGTTAGTTTTTTCTTTTGTATTTTCCTATCCTGCTTTTATTACCCATTTACTTACCTGCCTTTCAGAAGTGTTGTTCTGTAAAATAAAATGGTGACAGCATGAAACCTTTGCGTTTGTTTTTAAAGCTGTTGAGCAAGTGAATGAGGCAGCTTTCCTTTTCTTTAAAAGAGGCCATTGAATGCTGTGAAGTCTTTCAGTTGTACTTCAAAAAAAGGTCAGATTCATGCCAGCCTTTCTGGTGCGTGATTAATCTGCATAACCTAGAGAACATAATTTGGAAATGCCCTAATAAAGGAGGCAACTGAGGCAGTATATGGGTATAGCTGGAATAAAGAGTCGCCTAAATACATTTTGAACCTAGTTGGTGATATTTTTTTTGTCTGCATTTGTTTGTTCTGCAAACTAAAAACAAATCATGCACTCTTGATAAATTAGGTTTTACTGACCTAAGCTCCTAGGAAAACATGATATTTCTCCACACGTTTTGCAATTAATTTATGTAGTTTGTGCCTCTTTAAAGATGATCCAGCCAAGTGTGTTGGCACATGACTGTAATCCTTGTACTCTTGGAGGGTGAGGCAAGAGGCTTCCAAGTTCAATTCCAGACTCAACTACATCGCCAGCCTTCTTTTTTGGTTTCTGTCCTTTTTTTTTCTTCTTTCTTTTTTTTTCTTGATACAGGGCCTTACTATGTAGTTCAGGCTGGCCTTGAACTCACTGTGTATCTCAGGCTGGCCTCTAATTTGAGGTAATTCTCCTGCCTCAGCCTCCTGAGTTACAGGTATGTGCCACCACACCTGGCTTGGTTTTTATTTTGAGACAAGGTCTCACTAAGTTGCCTAGGCTGGCCTCCATTTTAGATTCTTCTGCCTTGGCCTCCTAAATAGCTGGGATTATAGGCATGGACCACCAGCCTGGTTTATATAATTTTTGTTGTTGTTTGGGTTTGTTTGTTTAGGATTGAACTATATAGTTCAGCTAGCCAGTGAGCTCACTATATAGCCCACGCTGGCCTCAAATTTGAGATCTTCCTGCCTCAGCCTCCTGAGGCTTACAAACGTGTCCTACTATGCCCAGCTACATTGTGTTTTACAATTTCCCTCCTTAATTTTGTAAATAAGTCTCTGTATACAGATTGAGTACCCTTTTCTAAAATACTTGGGACCCGAAGTGCTTTGGATTTTCAGATTTTTTTCATTTGTATATTGAAAATGTGGGAGTGGGACCCAAGTCTAACTACAGAATTCATTTGTTTCATTTATACCTTATATACATAGCCTGAAGGTAGTTTTATGCAAGTTTTTAATACTTTTTTGCATAAAATCAGTTTCCAGGTATGGAATTTTCTGCTTGCAGCATCTTGAAATTTCTAAAAAAAAAAGAGGTTTGCATTTGAATTTTGGATTTTCAGATTCAAGATGCTCAACCTATGCTTGAGCAACAAAGACTTGGTATGAGGTGGCGCACGCCTGTTATAGGTGTGTGCCATCACACCTGGCTGGTAATCCCAGCTCTCGGAAGCCTGAGCAGGAGGAGTGCTGGGAGTTGGAGCTCACCCTAGGCTACATAGTAAAACTCTGTTTTTTTTAAAACAAAACAATGCTGGGCATGGTGGCACATACCTGTAATCCTAGCACTAGGGAGACTGCGGCAGGAGGATCACCATGAGTTCGAGGCCCGCCTCAGCTACATAAGCAAGTTCAAGGCCACTGTGCACTATATAGCAAGACCCTGACTTAAAAACAAAAACAAAAGACTTGGTTATAGTTCTCCAACTCAGCCAAGAGTTTTTGTTTTATTTTGTTTTGTTTTGTGGTACTAAAGATTGGGCCCAGGGCCTTGTACATAGTAAGAAAGTGCTTTACTTCTGACCTACATCCCAGGTTATTTTTAATTATTTTGAGAGTCTTGCTAAATTGTATTGCCAAGCCTCCAACTTTCAGTCTGTCTGCCTCAGCCCTCCAAGTATGTAGCTAGGATTACAGGCCTGTGCCACCTCACCTTGTTACCTGGTTTGAGTTGAGATTTTTTTTTTAACAGTACTGGGGATTGCACCCACAGCCTTCACACTGATCTGCGTTTGCAGCCGCCCCCGCCGCATCCCTTCTTTGAGATAGGATCTCCATAAATTGCCCAGGCTGGCTAGATCTTTTAATCCTCTTGCCTCAGCTTCCCAGAATGGTGGGATTATAGATGTATACTACAGTGCCCTGCTCTGAGATTTTTTTTTTTTAAACATAGTTTCTATTTTTCCAGATTTTGGTTGTCCTGTAATGTATATCCCACTATTTAAATGTTCTTAGGAATTATCCTTGCACTAATAATGCAGTAGTAGTTTACTCTAGGCTTAAATAAGTAAATACTAATAGAACATGTTTAAGTTCTGTCCCTAGTACTGAAGAGAAAGAAGGAAAGAAGGGAAGAAAAAAATTATAGGAGCAATGCAAGATACTTCACCTTTTTATGAACTCATCAGAAGGGAAAATTTGCCTTTGTGAAATTCTAGAAGATAGTATTGCTGACAGACCCATGATGTTAGAAAATTAAGCTTACTTTTTGAGAGTTCAGAATGAATTCAGTTTCTTACAGATCTTTTCCAAGAAATTAGAGGATAGTATAAAACACTGACGTTGACAATAGATACACGTGGGGATAATATACAGTTCTTTAAAATTTTTCCTAAGCCAACCACAGTGGCATACACCTGTAATCTCAGCACTGAGGCAGGAGGATTGCTCTGAGATTGGGGCCATCCTGTGCTACATAGTGAGTTCAAGGCCAGCCTGGAATATAAGCAAGACCCTGTCTCAATAAACAAACAAACTTTTCCTATATCCCAGATACCATTTTAGTGACTGCTTGCCTATGTCAAGTATTTCACTAGGAAGTTTTTTTTTTTTTCTTTTGGTACTGGGAATCGAACTCAGGACCCTGCACTTGCCAGGCAGGTGCTGTGCCACTGAGCTGTAGCCCCGGCCTCTTTACTAGGAAGTTTATGTACAGCGTTTTAGGCAATCTTTTCAGTAATTCATTTTGAATAATCTATATCTTTGATTATTAAAAATTTATTAACTGTCTTTTGTTATCGAAAGCACCATATTTGTAGTTGTTTTTTTTTTTTTTTCCTGGTACCGGGAATTGAACTCCTGACCTTGCACTTGCCAGGCAGGCGCTGTGCCGCTGAGCTAAATCCCCAGCCCCATATTTGTATATATTATTTCATTTTTTAACTCAATGAGGTAGTATTGTCCACACTTTATATCATTTTGCAATAGAATGTTACTTTTCTCCTATAACAGTTTCTAGATGGTAAGTATAGTATTTTATTGATTGCTACCAAATCTGTGTTATCATGGTATCTCCCCTGCCAGGTAAGTATAGCAAATCTGAATATATAGTCCTTATTCTCTTTTATAGATAAAATGCTTTTTCTTGAAATTTATTTTTTCCCATTTATGGATATGTGATAAGGTTTTTGTTTTTATTGTTTTGCAGTACTAAAATGTTAGGCAAAATGCTCTGCCACTGAGCCACAAGCCTAACCCCTTTTTGTATTGTTTTCCATTTTTATTTTGAGATAGTCTCATTGAATTTCCCAGGCTGGCCTTGAACTTGAGATCCTCCTGCCTCAGCCTTCCCATAACTGAGATTATAGGCCTGTGCCACCATACCCATTTTTTTTTTTTTTTTTTTTTTGTCTTTTTGAGACAGGATCTTACTGTGCAGTTCAGGCTGGCCTTGAGCTCACTTTGTAGTCTAGGCCGGCCTCGAACTCGCAACGATCCTCCAGCCTCAGCCTCCCGCACTATACACATCTTAAAATAGTTTTTTTTCAGTTTTGGAAGCCATATGTCTTTAAGTTATTAAATGTGCATGAACTCTTTGTAGGCTAGGGGGAATTGTGCTGTTCTTGGTGTTTGTTCAGTTGCGTGTTTTGGGTTTATGGCACAGGGCTCTGTGCATGCTAAGCACATGTTCCACCACTGAGCTAAAGCTCTAGCCCCAAACTTGCATGAAATTCTACATGCTTTTTACAATTTAGTTTACCTTGAAAGGATAGAAATAGAAATTCATACTGGAGGGAAAATATAAAAATGAACACTTCTCATTTGAGCAGAAATGCTGAAAACCTTGGATATCCAAATTTATATTGAGACTTGAACTTAGATATACTATCATGCTCAATACTTCCCCAGTAACATTTGATTTTTAACCTTTGTTTAATGACGGAATCATATCCCAGTAGTTCTTAAATGCTCTTGTCTGTGTCCTTATATTGTGTGGGCTTTCCTCTAATTTGCATATTCATGATAACATGAGGCCAAGATTGTTCAGAATTACACTGCTCTTTGCCAAGAAGATCTGGTGGTAGAGTGGAGTAATACATCAACACCCCCACACAGTGTCTCCTGTGTGTGCTCAGCGTTAGAGCACAAATTGTGCTTCTGTCTTATTTCTTCCTGACCCAAACTATGTAGTTCAGCCATATGTTAAGCTTCATCTCTGCTGGCGCTATGAGCCGAGTGATTCTTTGGTTTAGTTTCTTATTTAAGAAGGTCTCTTGAGATGCATTCATGATATATAAAAATTTATTAATTAGCTAGACATTTGAGGAAGATTTTCATCTGCAAACTTGATCGATCTACCTTTGACTTTAGGGTTCTTAGCAAATGGCAAATGCTTCTTAAAAGCTTATTCTTTTTAGCTGTGTGTGATGGTGCATACCTGTAATCCCAGCATTTTGGGAGGCTGAGGCAGAGGGATCACAAGATTGAGCCCACCCTGGGCAATCTAGTGAATTAGTGAAAACATATCTCAAAATAAAACATAAAGGGCTGGTTAGGCAGCTCAGCATGTTGGCCCTGGGTTGAATCCCCAGCACCAAAATAGATAATAAATAAGTGCTTAATAATTTTTAATAACTTCCTTAGAAAAGTTAGATGCAATGGATGCCTTTTTGGATATTCTTGTGATATGAGGTAATTCAGATACAGATTTTCCAAGCTAATTTTTGTTTTATTGAATCAAAAAGTGCTTTTATGCTGGGCATGGTGGTACACACTTGTAATCCTAGCACTTGGGAGGCTGAGGCAGGAAGATCATTGTGAGTTTGAGGCCAGCGTAGGCTACATAGTGAGTTCAAGGCCAGCCTGCAGTATGTACCAAGACCCTGACTCAAAAAACATACATAAAACGGTGATTTTCTAAAGCCAGACATACAGCTCAGTGATAGTCTGCTTGCCTGGTAGCATGCAGAGGCCTTGTGATCAATTTCAAACACTGTGAAAAGAAAGCTATCTTTCTAAAAGCCACATTAAAATAACTTTGCCTCTGTTTTTCTTTCGTATTTTTGCATTAAAGATAGAACAGCAGCCTGGCACAAGGGTGTGAGCCTATAATCCCAGCTATTAGGGACAGCTGTGAAACAGGAAGATTTCAATTTCTAGGCTATCCTTGGCAACATAGCAAGAACTCTTTAAAAATAAATAAATAAATAAATAAAGTGCTGGGCATGTAGCTCAGTGGTAGAGTGCTTGCTTAGCATGCACAAGCCCCTAGTTTGATCCCCAGCATCACACACACACACAAAAAGAACAACCCTGAAGCATGTTAAAAATTTTATGCTCTCTAACAAAACTTTTTTTTTGGCTTTTTTGGAGACAGGGTCTTGCTATATAGCTCTGGCTGGCTTTGAGCTCACTATGTAGCCCAGGCTGACCTCAGATTTATAGCCTTTCTTCTGCTTCAGCCTTCTGAGAACACAAGTATTCTTTTTTTTTTTTTTTTTTGGTAGCGGGAATCAAACTGAGGACCTTGCACTTGCCAGGCAGGTACTGTGCCACTGAGCTATATCCCTGGTCCTCACACAAATGTTCTTATATTACATATTACTTAGCAATTATCTTATTACTTAGTAGCATGTGACAGTTTGCATTCTGCTGGGTTTTTTTTTCATTCATTCATTTGTTCAATTACTGATACTGGAGATTGAATTCCGCCTTTACACTGAGGCATATCTGCAGCCCATTTTTGTTTATTTTGGTTTTCTGAGACAGGGTCTTGCTATTTAGTTCAGAATGGCCTCAAACTGGTAGTGATCCTCCTCTCTCAGCCTCTGGAGTGCTGGGATTGCAGGCCTGCGTCACCATGCCCAGCTATCTGCAGCCCATTTTTTATTTTGAGATAGGGTGTCACCAAGTTTCCCAGGCTGAGCTACAATTTAGGATCCTCCAGCCTTCCAGAGTGCTGGGATTACAGCCATGAGCCACCATGCCTGGGGATGGATGCTGCTGTTTTCATCCTGAAGGTACAAAATTAGAAATGTTTTTTGAGTTAGAATCTGCATTTAGTTTAGTTATATCAATTTTTTAAAGTTGCAGTAAAATAGACATACCATAAAACTTTTAACTGTTTTAAATGTACAGTACAATGGCATTAAGTACATTCATCTTGCTGGGTACAGTATGATCATTTTCACCCCATTGCCTGCTGCCTGTAATCCCAGCTACTCAATGACGCTGAGGCAGGAGGATCAAAAGTTCAAGGCCACCCTGGGGAACTTAATGAGACTCTTTCTAAAAATAAAATAAAAGATGAAAAGGGCTGGGGTATAGCTCAGTGGTAGAGCACTTGCCTATTATGTGAAAGGCCTTGGGTTCAATCTCTAGTATTGCAAAAAGAAAGGTGTATTTATATTGTTGCATAACCTTCACCACCATCTATTTCTGTCATTTTCCCTTACTAAAACATTGGAGAATAACTCCTCTCCCCACTCCTGGCAACCACCATCCTAGTTTGTTTCTATGAATTTGATTCCTCACATAACTAGAATCATATAATATTTGTCCTAGGGTGATGTGTTTATTTCATGTAGAATAAGTCTTCAGAGTTCTATGATGTTGTAGCATATGTTACAATTTCCTTCCTTTTTAATGCTGAATAATATTCTGTCATGTTCGTCACATATACAGTACACAACTCCCCCCCACTGTATACAGTACACTTCCTCTATCAGTAGGTTGTTCTTACCTTTTTGACCACTGTCAATAAATTATATCCGTTTTAAAGGAATTTTGAAAGGCACTTTAAAGGTTTCTTGTTTGTTAACATTTGAATATAGTTTATAAGAACCTAGAATCTATTTAACTACTTTCAGTTTTTGGTTTTATGTTATTTATATTACATAGTATATAATAAAATTCCACCTGAACAGACCTTGTCCTATTGTGACAGTGGTTTTTATTCATATAGCCATTTTAAAACAATATGCCTTCCTTCTTTATTTTATTTACTTTTGTTTATTTGGGTTTTTTGAGACAGAGTCCTGCTATTGTAGTTCAGGCTGGCCTTGAACTGACTGTGTAGCCCAGCGAGTCTTCTGTCTCAGCCTCCCAAGTCCTGGGATTACAGTCATACATACACACTACCCTCTTTCCTTCTTTATTTATATGAAAATGTATCCTTCATTTATATTCCAAGATATTATCTTAATATTTCTCTAATAACATAAAATATACAGATACTACAGAAAGATTGAGAAATACATATAAACTTTTACTTTGTAATAACAACTGTTAACTTTTTATTATAGTCTTTGGTGATTTTTCCATACGTGTATATGTATACTTATAAATATGGGATCATACAGTATAATTTTTCTTGTTTTTTTTTTGAGATAGGGTCTCATTATGTAGCCCAGGCTGGCCTTGAATGCAGTATGTAGACCAGATTAGCTTCAAGTTTGAGTTCTCCCTGCCCAGCCTCCTCATTGCTGGGATTATAGATGTGTGCCACATATCTGACCAGTGTAATTTTTATTTCATATATTAGCACAAGTAATACCTCACTGCATAGAAAAAAAAATCTCTCTATATATATATAAAATTTTTTTTAGGGCTTTTTTTTTTTAGTACTGGGACTTGAACTCAGGACATTGCACTTGCCAGGCAGGTGCTTGTGCCACTGAGCTATATCCCAGACCCTGTTTTAGTTTTTTGAGACAGAGTCTTGATATGTAGTTCACTATTGCAGGCTGGCCTCAAACTTGCAGCGATCTTCCTCTCTCACCCTTCTAAGTACTAGGATCATAGGCATGCATCACCAAGCCTGGCTAAAATACTTTTTTGAAGCTGCACACACCTGCAGCCCCAGCACTCTGGAAGGCTGAGACAGGAGGATTGCAAATTCATGCCCAGCCAGCAATGACTTAGCAAGATCCTATCTAAAAAAATTTATTAGAATCAATCATTGCAGTTTTGATTGCTTTAGAATTTAACTTTATATATATAAACAACTGTTGTTACTATTTGTAAGAATTATGTGCATGTATAACAGATATTGTTTATGGGGAGGGGTTTTGGTTTGGGTTTTTTCTTTTTTTTGAGAAAAGGTTTCAGTGTATTCCAGGCTGGCCTTGACCTGGCTGTGTAGTACAGGCTAGCCCTGAACTCATGG